CGCTACTTTACACTGTTATACAAGCTGCACGCTCGCTACTTTACACTGTTATACAAGCTGCACGCTCGCTACTTTACACCGTTATACAAGCTGCACGCTCGCTACTTTACACCGTTATACAAGCTGTACGCTCGCTACTTTACACTATTATACAAGCTGCACGCTCGCTACTTTACACTGTTATACAAGCTGCACGCTCGCTACTTTACACTGTTATACAAGCTGCACGCTCGCTACTTTACACTGTTACACAAGCTGCACGCTCGCTACTTTACACTGTTACACAAGCTGCACGCTCGCTACTTTACACTGTTATACAAGCTGCACGCTCACTACTTTACACTGTTGTACTACTTTACACTGTTACACAAGCTGTACGCTCACTACTTTACACTGTTACACAAGCTGCACGCTCACTACTTTACACTGTTATACAAGCTGCACGCTCACTACTTTACACTGTTATACAAACTGCACGCTCACTACTTTACACTGTTATACAAGCTGCACGCTCACTACTTTACACTGTTCTACAAACTGCACGTTCACTACTTTACACTGTTATACAAGCTGCACGCTCACTACTTTACACTGTTATACAAACTGCACGCTCACTACTTTACACTGTTATACAAGCTGCACGCTCACTACTTTACACTGTTCTACAAACTGCACGTTCACTACTTTACACTGTTACACAAGCTGTACACTCACTACTTTACACTGTTATACTACTTTACGCTGTTACACAATCTGTACGCTCACTACTTTACACTGTTATACAAGCTGCACACTCACTACTTTACACTGTTGTACTACTTTACGCTGTTACACAATCTGTACGCTCGCTACTTTACACTGTTACACAAGCTGCACGCTCGCTACTTTACACTGTTACACAAGCTGCACGCTCGCTACTTTACACTGTTACACAAGCTGCACGCTCGCTACTTTACACTGTTACACAAGCTGCACGCTCACTGCTTTACACTGTTACACAAGCTGCACGCTCGCTACTTTACACTGTTACACAAGCTGTACACTCACTACTTTACACTGTTATACAAGCTGCACGCTCACTGCTTTACACTGTTGTACTACTTTACACTGTTACACAAGCTGTACACTCACTACTTTACACTGTTATACAAGCTGTACACTCACTACTTTACACTGTTACACAAGCTGCACGCTCACTACTTTACACTGTTACACAAGCTGCACGCTCGCTACTTTACACTGTTACACAAGCTGTACACTCACTACTTTACACTGTTATACAAGCTGCACGCTCACTGCTTTACACTGTTGTACTACTTTACACTGTTACACAAGCTGTACACTCACTACTTTACACTGTTATACAAGCTGCACGCTCACTGCTTTACACTGTTGTACTACTTTACACTGTTACACAAGCTGTACACTCACTACTTTACACTGTTGTACTACTTTACGCTGTTACACAATCTGTACGCTCGCTACTTTACACTGTTACACAAGCTGCACGATCACTACTTTACATTGTAGCAAAGTGTCGTTTGTCGTTTGTTCAGTGTTGAACATGAAAAGATAGAATCATATTTACAAACATGTGAGGGTGAACTCACTCTGTGAGATCCTGTATACGTATGTATTTGCTGTGTATATTAAACATATAGATCACATGTTCAACACACGTTCGTTTTACCGCCGACTAAATGATGTTTGTGATTTACCCCCCTCCCCCGACAGCGATGAGTCACCTGAATGGCCAGCGTCTCCATGGTAACGTGATTCGGGTGATGCTGTCCAAACACCCGGTGGTGCAGCTGCCTCGCGGGGGAGCGGGGCAGGAGGAACAGGCGCTGACCGGGACTTCTCAGGCTCCGCCCTCCACCGCTTCAAAAAACCCGGATCCAAAAACTTCAACAACATCTTCCCGCCGTCGGCCACGCTGCACCTGTCCAACATCCCGTAGGTTCAGCTCCACTCAGAGTGTTTATACAGGGAGTGTTTCTCTAACTCCGCCAGGTGTTAACGCCTTCCTTCTCGTCTCGCAGCTCCGCCGTCAGCGAGGACGAGCTGAAGGACGTGTTCACCTCCAGCGGCTTCACGGTGAAGGCCTTCAAGTTCTTCCAGTGAGTAAAACACTTTCTGTTAACCAACATGTCTGTCAGACGAGCTAAAAACTACAACATGGCTGCCGTGTGTTTCCTCCTTGTTTCATGATGTCACTTCCCGGCTGTCACAGGAAGGACAGGAAGATGGCGCTGATGCAGCTGGCGTCTGTGGAGGAAGCCATCGAGGCTCTGATTGCTCTACACGACCACCAGCTGGACCACAACCAGCACCTCCGAGTCTCCTTCTCCAAGTCCACCATCTGACCCCTGACCTTCGTGTCCACCATCTGACCCCTGACCTTCGTGTCCACCATCTGACCCCTGACCTTCGTGTCCACCATCTGACCCCTGACCTTCGAGTCTCCTTCTCCAAACCCACCATCTGACCCCTGACCTTCGAGTCTCCTTCTCCAAACCCACCATCTGACCAACCAGACTTCAAGGCTTCTGATTGGCTTATGGCAGGAACAATCGGACCAATACGAAACCTCCCGTTGCCACCGAGCTTTCTGTGCCTACAAACACTCTGACATCACGGTGACATCACAGTGACGGGCGATGACACGAGGAGGCGTTGCCATGGTTACAGGGGTTACAGAGCACATTCCTGAGCAGACTGAATGCCCAGTAGCAAATGGCATCATGGGTAGTGGATTCCCAACAAAAAGTTCATGATGTGAGTGGAACTTTTTATTGTCTAAATGTTAAGTTAATGTGATCTTTATAAAGTTAAAATGAGGATTTTCAAAATAAAACCTGCTGTTTCTCCAAAAGCCCAAACTGATGGAAAGATCTAATATATTTTGTTTTAATATTTAAAGTTAGCATGGACAAAGTTCGGTCTTGTAAAGTTTCATATTTCACTGTAACTTTATTTTCCATCATGACATTAATGTTTTTATTATTTCTTCAAAGTTTCACTGATTTTCTGAACGTTTTGAGTCTTCAGTGCCTTTCTCATCGGCACTTTCTGCCACCGTCTGATTGGCTGAAGTTGTTGTTGTTGTTGTTACTATTATTACTGTAGATGTTTAGGTGGCTGCGATCTCAACCTTCCTCTGTGCCTTATTTTTCTGGATCCTGCTGGGTTTTATACGTGGCGTCCGGTGGAGGGCCGGTGGCGGGTCTTGTTGATCTGACTTTGGGTTTGTTTTGTAGAATTTTTTCACTTAGTTAAAAATATTTTTTGTCACACGTCGTACTGTTGGTAAATATTTTTTGGGAAGGTTTTTTAATCATGAATGTATTTATACTGTACAACATGAGATAATGCTTTAGACGTCCCGCCCACCTGTCGTACCTGCGTGTGTGTATTTATATATTGTGCGTGTGTTTATATCAAGCTGAGCTGTGATTGGTTCATCTTCAAATGTCCCTCCTTCTTTTTTCTATTAAAAATATATTTAATTTAAATCCAGCTCCTGTTTTTTAGATTCTTTTTGCAGCTTCAGGTTTTTATTTTCACTTTGACTGATTTTAGGAAACAAGCCACTAAAAACAGGAAGTGCCGATTCCCGTCTGCCTTCTGACCTCTGGTTAAATGTTGAGGGACGTACGAAGGGAGGCGGCGGCTTTACAGCGAAAAGATTCAAAACTAGTTTTTTAATTTAATTCAGTGATTTTGAAGTCTTCTGTAAACAGTGTTGGAGAAGGAGGCGGGGTCAAACCAAGCCAAAGTTAGCGTGCCTTTTGATTGGACCAACTCATTCTCACATTACGGTGTCATTTCCTGTTTTGATGGGCTTTCAGGTTTTTACTTCTTACGAGTTTAAGTTGCCACCCGAAACACAAACCAAATTATTGTCACATATAATTATGAACATTTTTATGTTTTCATGTCTTCACATGTTTCAAGTAACAAGTTTGTTGTTGTTGTTGTTGTTGTTGTTGTTGAGCGCTGCTGCTGATTCGCTGCAAACAAACCTGTTTTACTTTGTACTTGTTATGCAACTCTTTCACATACTGTAAGTAGAAACAGTCTAAATAACAACAAACGTTTACATGTGTCGGGAAGTGACGAGAGTAAAAAGTACAATAAAGTGTAATTATACTTGCTATATACTTGTACGTTACACACTTAGTTCTTAGACTTTACAATACTTCCAGTGTGCAAGTTTCTACCTGTTACATGTTAAAATACTTGTTATACATGTAGTATCTTACACATGGTGGAATTATTGTAACATTAACTGGTATCCTGATTTATAAGAAATTACCTGTAACATTCTACTTGTGTACACTACATGTAAAAATACTATGTAGTACTGTAACATAACGTACTTGTATATAACATGTTTGTGAGCTTGTTGTACTTTACAGGTGTAGTAATGTTTTAGAAATACTTTGACGTACTGCAGTACTTGTTACACTGTACAATGTTAAATACTTGTTTATTTTACACACTTACTACATGTATGTACATGTTAGTATGTAATGTGAAGTACTGTTACTTGGAACATGAAGACAGAAAAACATAAAACTAGAAGAAATATTTCCTAAATGTTTATTTGAAACTCCTGTGTGAGTTTTAAATCCTCTCGCAGGTTTCCTTTGATTTCGTTCGACTCTTTGCAGAAAACAAACCCTGAATGTTTCTGCTGATGAATGTAAAGTACTCGTGGTGCATTGTGGGAGCAGGTGGGACTGTTATTATATGAAATATTTTTTAATCCTGTGCATGGCGGGGGGGGGGTCTGTGCTCGATTCAGAAACAAAACGTTTGTTGAATTTTTATTTATTCTGAAAGCGTGACAGGAAGTTGTAGCATGAATCACTGAATAAATAAATCATCCGACAACCAATGGCTGTCCTCGGTTTCTGCAAAGCTCCGCCCACCGTCTGTCCTGCCGGCCAATCAGATCGTTTGGAAATGTACAACAAGCAAGCGACACGTTGAGGTTCAGCTTTCAAAGGATAAAACTTTATTGTTCCTGTGTTGACACAATCCTCCACTGTGATTGGTCGGTTCAGACTACAGCAGGTCAGTGGAATTAAAAAAACAACAACAATAAACAAATCAGGATCCTATTGGACAACGGCAATGATGGGGGGGTGGGGTTCATCCGACTCGAAGCTGAGGTCATCAACCAAACCCCCCCCCTCGCGGGCTACACTAACAACTAAGGGCTAACAGTGAAGCAACACGGCTTTAAAAAACACACGCTCGCACGCACACGCTCGCACACGCAGCGTTCAGACTCACAACAGAAGGTCAGAAATGTGGCGGTCTCTTTTCTTTCTTTATTTGGTCCTGTGTTTGTTTGTTCTGTGAATCACTTGAAATATCGCGACCGTTAAACGTCAGAATACTGATCCGTTCAGTCCTGCTTCGGGTTCAAAGTCCGTTTGTCAAATTTAAAAACCAGAAACCGGACATTTCGCTCTAACACACTGTGACATCACTGTGACATCACAACCTTCAGAAACACATTCAGACAAGTTTTTAAGACTTTCTTCTTCTTCTCTTGACTGCTTTTCAGAATTAGGATCCAGGTTTCTGGTCCAGACCCAGCTGAATCCGAAAGATGTTTCTTTTAAATATAATTTGTTCTAAAGTTCTGGTAAACATGAGATTCTCTGCGTCACACTTACAAGATCACAGAATCGTGTATTTGTGAGCTTTTTAAATGACCAAACACGTTTTCTTTACAAATCTAAAAGAAAATGTCTCCTCTTTGTTCACCTTCAGGAAATGCGGTTCTCTTTCAATGAAATGTATTTGTTCACATGAAGAACATCAGCAGAACGGCGGAGACAGCGAGCCTCTCCTCGCTCGCCGAGCGGTCGCTTCACATTGTATCTGAGGTTTTATCTGTTTTCACACGGACGTCCAGCGGGGAGCTGTTCTTCTAACCAGACGTGTGAAAGGAGATAATTCACCTCCTCAAGTCAGGAACCGTCGAGTCCCCTTTAACCACGACGGACGACTTCCTGCTGACAGAGAAGTCAGATGTTTTAGCTTGAAAATCATCAGAATCAAAGCTCCCATGGTTTTCAAAGTAAAATATTCTGTATATAGTATAAATGCTGTCGTGTTTAAATCAGCTCAGATTATTATTTCAGACTTCCTGAAACATTAAAGTTGATTGGTTCAGAGATCAGCGCCGATATAAGATCAGCCAATTCAGTGCGATGCGTCACTCTCTCCCTGCACTCTCATTGGCTTGTTCTGGCATCATTCAGCTTAGCACCAAAAGGAACATAAATAGTTAAACACACACACTCTTCAGTTTTTCTCATAAAAAAACAAAAACAAACATCAGTCTCTTTCTCTCGTCTCCTCCTCATCCTGGTCTCCAGGAGGATGAGGAAGTTGCCCGTTGCCATGGTAACTAGACGTCGAGGATCTCCTCGGCGGTGCCGCCGCAGCGCAGCCGGTACCGGCCGGTCCTCCAGCTGATGGTCGGGTCCCACAGAGCCGACAGGAAGATCTGCACCGCCATCGACTCCCTGATGAACCACGCCACCGCAAAGTCCAGCTTGGAGAAGCACAGCGGCCCGCCCTGCGAGATGACATCATCGATCAATAACCAATCAGTCACAGTCCGACAATGTGACAGCTCTAAACCTGTGCGGGGAGATACGATCAGCCAGAACATTAAGACCACCTGCCCTGACCCGGGCGGTCCCGGACTTCACTGTGTGTTCTGACCCCTTTCTATCAGAACCAGCACCAACTTCTTCAGCAGCTCGCCTGTGGGGCCGGACCACACGGACCAGCCTTCACACCCCGCCTGCATCATGACCCTGTCGCCTTTTGATAGGTCAGGACCAAGCAGAAACCTCGGGGTCTGAAAACCCTGGGGGCCCTGTGTAATATATCCCTCCCACCGACAGTGGTCATAAAGTTATGGCTGATCGGTGGATCTATCTCTAACAGTATTAAATCCACAAACTTTCAAGGATTTCAAGGACCTCTGCCGGAAGAAAAAGTCACATCATTAAGTTGAAGGTGAGTACCTGAACTCCAGTCAGCTGGATGTAGTCCGACAGGAACCAGGCGAGACAGTGACACATGAAGAAGACCATCATGTCCCACCTGCAGCACACACATTAACATGTTTAACGCCATGTAAACAGGAAGTCTGATCACAGTTTAAAGCTGATCTGAGGACGAACAGGGATCAATAAATATTTCAGGTTTATTAGTTTCTACCCATCTGTTACAGTATGAATACATTACAGTATAGTCGTGACAGAAAAGCGGCCATCACGTCATTAATCAGAACGGGTTCTCTCACAGAGGGAACTCCACCTGCCGCAGGTGATAATATCTGCAACATGCTCCTGCCCTGTGATTGGCCGTGTACCTGAACACATAATGAGCAGCCCAGCCAATGATGAGGCTGGCCAGGAAGCACTCGGAGACGGGCTCCAGCACGGTCCCAGGCAGCATGTTGATCCTCAGCTTGGTCCACCTGAACACAGTAACCCGCTTATTAATTATCATCACGCTCAACAGAAATCCTGTTTGTGACTGAAATGATAATATAAATAACTCACACACACATTAAGGAAATACCACATACGATTCCTACACTTTAATATATATCATAATATATTATGGACATTATTGTGGAGACAAAAGTATGAATCATGAAAACAGCCAATCAGATGAAGAGTTCTGAGGTCACCTGATCATGCGGGACTGGAACTGGGCAATGGAGTACGACCCAGAGTTCTGCAGCGCCACCTGTGTCGCCATGGAGAACTTCCAGCCTCTGAGGAGACGGGGAGCAACGAATCATCAAACACCAGCTGTAAACATTAAACCAGCCAAGCGTACCTACAAGCTCTTAATGGTCAGGCACCATCTTATCTTAAAGAGCTCATAGTACCTTACTACCCCACCAGAGCACTGCGCTCCCAGAATGCAGGGTTACTTGTGGTTCCTAGAGTCTCCAAAAGTAGACTAGGAGCCAGAGCGTTCAGCTATCAAGCTCCTCTCCTGTGGAACCAGGTTCCAGTTTGGGTTCAGGAGGCAGACACCATCTCCACATTTAAGAGTAGGCTTAAGACTTTCCTCTTTGATAAAGCTTATAGTTAGGGCTGGCTCAGGTAGTCCTGAACCATCCCTTAGTTATGCTGCTATAGGCCTAGACTGCCGGGGGATTTCCCATGATGCACTGAGCTCCTCTCTCCTCTACTTTCTCTCCCTCTGTATGCAACCTTATCCCATTATTGCATGTTACTAACACAACTTCTCCCCTTTCTGGTAGTCTTGTGCTTTCTCGTCTCTCTCCTCTCTCCTCCTATCACTTCCTGCAGGTTTTCTGGCTCTGGAGCTGTGGAGTCTGGATCTGTGGTTGCGGGTCACCTGCTGCCCCCGTGTTCATGCTCGACACCCTCTACTGCAACGACTATTGTTGCTAGTCCTATTGTTATTATAATCATTAACATTACGATGGTTACCATTAACACTATTATAAATATCTGTACCATTTTTCATTTAGTTTATAGCAACATTACCTTCGCTGTCTGTACCTCTGTGTGTATATTGTGTAGGCTGCCTCCCTCCCCTCTCTCTCTCCTTACATCCCTCTCTCTCTCTCTCTCTCTCTCTCTCTTTCTCTCTCTCTCTCTCTTTCACTCTCTTTCTCTCTCTCTCTCTCTCTCACCCCAACCGGTCGAGGCAGATGGCCGCCCACCCTGAGTCATGGTTCTGCTCGAGGTTTCTGCCTCTTAAAGGAAGTTTTTCCTTGCCTCTGTCTCTTAGTGCTGCTCTTGGTGGGAACTGTTGGGCTTCTGTAAATAGCATCACAGAGTACGGTCTAGACCTGCTCTTTTATGAAAAGCGCTGTGAGATAACTGTTGTTGTGATTTGGCGCTATATAAATAAAATTGAATTGAATTGAATTGAATACAGGCGCTAATGCTAACGCGCTAACCTGTCAGCGATGGCTTTAGCCATGAAGTAATCCTCCGCGATGTACTGAGCGAAGGCGACCAATCCGCCGGCTTGATCCAACACGTCCTTCCTCATCAGGCACGACATCCCCGTCACACACTTTATCCCCGTCACGTTAGCAGAGATGTAGGAGCGAGGGTGGGACGTCCCGAAATACACCTAAACACAGGTTAGCATTAGCATCTGTTAGCACTTATAAACACAGGTTAGCATTAGTATCTGTTAGCACTTATAAACCATCACGTTAGCAGAGATGTAGGAGCGAGGGTGGGACGTCCCGAAATACACCTAAACACAGGTTAGCATTAGCATCTGTTAGCACTTATAAACACAGGTTAGCATTAGTATCTGTTAGCACTTATAAACCGTCACGTTAGCAGAGATGTAGGAGCGAGGGTGGGACGTCCCGAAATACACCTAAACACAGGTTAGCATTAGCATCTGTTAGCACTTATAAACACAGGTTAGCATTAGTATCTGTTAGCACTTATAAACCGTCACGTTAGCAGAGATGTAGGAGCAAGGGTGGGACGTCCCGAAATACACCTAAACACAGTTTAGCATTAGCATCTGTTAGCACTTATAAACACAGGTTAGCATTAGTATCTGTTAGCACTTATAAACCATCACGTTAGCAGAGATGTAGGAGCGAGGGTGGGACGTCCCGAAATACACCTAAACACAGGTTAGCATTAGCATCTGTTAGCACTTATAAACACAGATTAGCATTAGCATCTGTTAGCACTTATATACACAGGTTAGCATTAGCATCTCTTAGCACTTATAACACAGATTAGCATTAGCATCTGTTAGCACTTATAAACACAGGTTAGCATTAGTATCTGTTAGCACTTATAAACCGTCACGTTAGCAGAGATGAGCGAGGGTGGGACGTCCCGAAATACACCTAAACACAGGTTAGCATTAGCATCTGTTAGCACTTATAAACACAGGTTAGCATTAGCATCTGTTAGCACTTATATACACAGGTTAGCATTAGCATCTGTTAGCACTTATAAACTGTCACGTTAGCAGAGATGTAGGAGCGAGGGTGGGACGTCCCGAAATACACACGCCTCATTAGCTTTAAAGGCTAGTTCTAAACATACTTTAACATGACGTTAGCATTGCTATGCGATTGCTAAAAGTTTTGATCGCATGCAAACCTGGAAGCCAGCCAGAAGACTTAGCTTGATGTTCGCTTGTTAGCTTTTACCTGCTCCAGTGTGGCGGCGAAGCCTTGGCGGTCGGCAACATATGGCAACCCATGGACCAATCCCACCTTCTCTGTCATCTGATTGGTCAGATCTGTCAGGGTGTCAGGTTTCACTGCCACACACACACAAACACAGAGTTAGCATTAGCAGGTAGGACGTGTCTCGGCGTCGACAGTAAAAATGAGACTGTCCTGACCTCTGATGCCGCTGTCACAGATCCAGACCAGGCCATATTTGGCTCCTTCGTAGCCCGGCATCAGGTTGTTGATCTTGGGGTTGATTCCAACTTTCTTCCCCCCTGAGAACCGAAGAACAACACATGCTAACATTAGCCGCTAACAAAAAGCGAGTTACATGTTGTTAGATGATGTTGACAACAGCGGAACAAGTCTAACAACAAAAGTCTCACCGATGAATAATCGAGCGTCCACGTTGGGATATTTTCCCAACAACTTTTTACAGACGTCAACAGCTGGATCGTCCTGGTCCTGAACGCACAGCAGGATCTCGTACTGCAAAACAAAAAG